GTGTGCCAGGGGAGCAATGAACCAGGCTTTAAGCACTGAGTTGTGGAAGTCCACAAAGCAGGAAGAAAGGCCTGGCATAAAAACAAGATGACAGGTGAGAACAGATGGCGGACTCAGGCCCCAGGGCTCTCACTGTGGCCCAGGGTGCATCCCAGCACGTGACCTTCACTCTCAATATCCCCATGCAGACTACACACAGTCTGTCCTGCCTCGGAAAGTTCTATTGTGATTGAACAAGGCTTGCTTGGGCTCCCCAGCTAAATGTTAGCATCTTGTTAGCAACCAAGCAGTGGGTGGTAGGGGGTCAGGGAACCAAGACTCTACTTTTCTCTCTCCACCATGCCAACTAGCTAGTGTTGGGCACCTAAGAGGTAGTCAATCAGTCTTGGCATTCATTTGGATGGGGTCTTTGGAGAGAAGATGACTGGGTGCTTTTTCTAGGCAGCTCAGCAGGAGCTGACCTGCCTGAGGCCACCTGAGCAGTGACAGCAAGAAGAAGCCACCTTGTCTGGCATAAGCAGTCTTACTTAATATATTAAGCAGTCTTACTTATTTAACTGTGATGCTGAGAACTTTGAGTTTCACTCACCAGAGATTAAAGTTTTGTTCCTAACTGTTTGACAAGATGCAGCCTATTTAAGAAAGTTTAAGATGAACTTACATGATGTTTAACTGTTGAACAATTGTGGAGGAAAATAACCTTTGTAAGAGAGCAAAATCCTCAGTAATAAGGAGGCTACTGAAAACACCCAACCGAACAGATGAAGCAAAATGTTTTAAGCAGAAGTCATGCTCCATTCTCCCTGTATCCCTCAGGCCTCGGCACAGTGCTCAGAAGAGTGGGACCTCAATAACTTTATATAAATGTCACTAAAACAATGTTTACCTCTTATCTGAGCTTCAAATACCTTTGCAAAACTGAGGCAAAATGTTTTAAGCAGAAGTCATGCTCCATTCTCCCTGTATCCCTCAGGCCTCGGCACAGTGCTCAGAAGAGTGGGACCTCAATAGCCTTATATAAATGTCACTAAAACAATGTTTACCTCTTATCTGAGCTTCAAATACCTTTGCAAAAGCTACTACACTTCTTTGAATTCCTCACGTCTAAGAGGAGTTTTGCAGCTTTAATGCAGCACTTGCACCTCTGTCATACTTCACGTGCTGGGGCAGGCAGGGTTGGTATCCCCATTTTACAGGTGCGCAGCACTTGCACCTGCACCTCTGTCATACTTCACGTGCTGGGGCAGGCAGGGTTGGTATCCCCATTTTACAGGTGGGAACACTAAGGCACCACAGAGAAGAGAGCTAGTGGCTCAGGGCCCAGAGGATCAGACTACCACAGAGTCCTCCTTTTTTCATGCAGGTCTCTCTCCTCTAAGACTCTTCTGGCTCTGCAGGGGGCTGCTGGAATGGCACAGAGCCAGACTGGGCCTGAGACCAGAGGGGAAGGAGCCAGTACAAGTGGCAAAGCAGTCTCTGGGCTGGTGAGGAAGCAGCTCCCAAGATCCCTCTACAACAGCCCCAGAAGGCAGCGTCCCCCTCCCAATACACACGGAATTGCTGGGCACAAACCTGAGCAACCTGCAAATAGACACAGACTCTCTGCCCACTTGCTGAGCAGCCAGGAGGGGAGTAGGAGGCTCCCCTTTTGACTTAACAGGGAAAATTCTCCCTCTCGGCTGCTGGGGTGGAGGATCTTGCCATTTTGAGGACCTAACCAGGGAGGGGGATTCTGCTATGTGGCTCTCACAGCTGCCTGGTAACCCTGGGGAGCTATGGGCCAGGCAGCCAGCCTTGACCCAGCCCCATGGCTAGATGAGGAACGGCATTTGAATGCAGGGACAGTAAAGACCAACCCTGAGACCTTCCATGATGGGACCAGGGTGACCCTAGGCACTCCGCATGCAGGAACTCAGTGTTCCTTAGAGCCTGACGAGCATGTGAACTGCCTGGCATCTTGCTATGCACATTCTGATGTGGGAGGCCTGGGGTGGAACTTGAGATTTTGTGTTTCTTCCCAACTTACCTGCTGATCCAGGGAAGATGCTGTGAGCAATAATATGTTAATCCCCCAACTCCATGCTATTGGTACAACCCTCTTCCCCACATGGCTAGGAAGGAGAGGAGCCAAGTCTGAACACAGGCCATCTGATGCCAGATGCCTTGCTCTTACGTGCTACTATCACACAGCACTTCTCAGCTGGAAAGTGCTACACAAACAGAAGCAATGTGAATCCTCGGTCCACTACTTACCACAGCATGTTCCTAGAATGAGTCTCAGTTTCCTCCAGAGTAAAATGAGAATGGAGTAGCTTCTACTCAAAGGGAGGATTAAATGGGGTGAGAAGGGTAACGTGCTTGGCACAGAACCTGACAGTAGGATGAGCTGCTACCATTGCCAATGCACTGTTGCCCATACAGAGCTTTACTAAGGAATGGGGACAGCGGCTGCCACTGGGGTGACTGTGGGGCAGGTGGGACCCACGTGGGCAGCTCCTCCCATCTCTGCCTCTCCTTTCCTGCATTTATGTTCGTCTGCACTTGGTCGGGTCCAGTTTGTATCTGGAGAAGCAGTGGGTGGTCAGCAGGAGCGGCAGCTGGAGCCCGGGGTGGGTGGTAGAGGATGAGAATGGGTGGGCAGTGGGAGGGTGAGGGGGTCGTGGTAGTGCAAGGGCAAGTAGAGGACAGTGGGTCCTGACCTGTCACTAGGTTCCGAGTGAGGAGGGCCTCGTCTTCCTTGTGGTATTCCAGCATGCCCTGGAAGTCCTTCTCTTTCCGCTGGACGGTGACCTGCCTGGTGAGCTCATGGCGCTTCCTCCCACTCTGGGCCAATGCCTGGGCAGCTGAGCAGGGAAGAGACAACAGGAAGCATGAAGGGGATCTCCAGCCGGAGGCCCGTGGGGAGGGCGGAGGTCTGGACCCGGTCCAGGGCCAGGCGTTCTGGCCTCTGCATTCCCACGACATCTACATGCTCCATCCCACAGCCCGGGCCATGGTTCGAGGTCCACCACCAGACAAGGGAGGGAGGAAACACCCCAAAAGGCAGAGGGTAGGCTTTGGACCAGAGAAAACCTGTGAAGGACGTCAGGCAGCAGGATGTCCAACCTGTCCTGCTAGGCAGCCGTGTCTTTTTCCCTACCAAGTTGTAAAAAAGGGATACCATCTTTCTGGGAGGATGTTGCTGGCTCTAGTCAGGGCTGCTCTACATGGTACCTTGTGTGTGGCCATGGAGTGACCATCATGACACAGCTGCAGTGCGTCCCCAGGTGTTCGAGGCCAGGCCCAGCACTGTCTATGGGCAGCAGGCAGTGGAGCAGGACGGTGCCAGGGGTGTAATAAGAAACTGTCTTCAGCATCCAAGTGCAGATTCAAGTTTGGGAACCTGCTAAATGCAGTCTATGCGGCTACAGGAGGAGTTGCAGTGGTGTGGGTGGGGGTATAAAGGCCTGGTCAACCCTCGCTCAGGCCTTCCCTCAGCCTGACACCATGGGGGCAGTGGGCATCCACAGAGACATCCCCAAGCACGTCAGGGTACCTGCTGCACACAGGGCACTGTCCTAAGCACGGGAACAGACATGATGGAGTACCCAACCTTGTTCCCGGCCAGCCTAGCTAAGCTGACATGTCTGTACATTCACACAGAAATGGACATTGTGAAACAGCGGGGTAGGTGCCAAGCCAGGAGCGTGCACCATGGGTGCTGACAGTGGCTGGACAGGAGACTGTCTGCTGGAGCTAGAAGGACCAGATGGGGGAGTTGGGGTATAGGGTGGGAAGGACCCTCACCACCAGGAGGGAAGGGGCTGAACCATCAACCCACCAAGCTCCAGTTCACACAAGTTTCTGATGCATAGGAAGAGACCAGGGCAAGAGACAACCAGGGCTGGGGGTGCACTCCATGCATGTCTACGGGCTGGAGGGAGGCTTCCTGGCGGGGGCGGGGGGTGTCAGGAGTATGGAGAGGATGCCAGCAAGAGCTGAGGCTCTGTTCTGCAGGCAAGGAGGAAGGGACGGAGGATGGACAGCACTGTGAGCAGAGCTGGGGACTGGAAGTTCCTGAGGCGTCTGGGAACAGGGGACAAAGGCTGGTCACATGGGAGTGGAAGGGGAGGACAGAGTAGCACTGGAGAAGAGGGAGTGACAGTCCTCAGGACTGAGCAAAAGGGAAAAGCTTAAAGCCAACAGACCAGAAGAACAAGAGCTCTGGGAGCAGAAAACAAGAAATCCAAAGACAGAGGATGGCCCGCTAGGAAGAGATCACACCTGTCCACATGTGAATGTGTGCCCAGGTGGGGCAGGACCCATGGCTGAAGGGGACAGACATCCCAGCCCTCCTCAAGCCTCCAGTCTAGAGCAGTGGGTGGACATAAACAGGTGGTTAAACAAGTAAAAAGACATCTGTGATCAGAGCTGTACCCAAAAGGCATGTGGGGCCAGAACATGGGGTTGTGGCTTCTGGGCTGAGAGGGAAGGATTGGGAGGGGTATCCAGGTGATTGGGGGGGTGGGGCGAAGGTTCCAAGCAGGTGACATGTGCACAGAGTGACACCATTAGACTCGCAGGAGGGAGTCAGAGGGAGAGAACATTGTGAGTGCTTCTGGAAGACTGATTTAAATCTATGCCTGACCTCTCTGGGCCAGATTCCAGATTGGAAGCTTAATCCTGACACCCCATAGAATGGGGCAAGGCCCTTGTGGTTTGGGTCTTTGTGTCACAGAGCATGTTTTCACACCAAAATTCTTGCCGCCCGACTTTAAGCCCTTTGAGGGCAGGGACCCCCAGGTTGCTGTTTCGGTTTCCCACTCCTCCAGCCCTGCGGAGCCTTGCTCAGAGTAAGCACCCAAACACCTGCTGAGTTCCAGTGTCTTCTGTCCAGATTCTGGGCAGCTGACACACATAAGCTAATGGGGTCACATGGCTGGGCTTGGCACAGCCACCAGGAAATGGGGTTAATGGGAAGAGCATGTGGAGGGGCAGGCAGCAGACGTCCCGCGGGTGCAGCAGGTGACCTCTGCCCCACACAACACACACACTCGTGCACACCCTACCTTCTAAGTCCTGCACTTTCTTCATGTAAATCTTCAGTTGTTTTTTGAGCTTCCTCTCATTCTTTTCCAGTTTTTCTACCTGTTCTTTAAGATCCTGAAAGCAGAAGGCAGCAGTGTGAGAGCGGTCTTGAGCCCTGCCCTGGCCGGCGGGGGGAAATCCTCACTTGGAGTGGAAGGGGCAGGGACCCGCCTGGAAGGGCCACCCAGCACAGGCTGCTGCTCCCGCTCTGGAACCCAGGAAGCCAGGGATGAGTCACAGTCTGTTCTCTCGGTAACAACAGGGCAAACCCCTCCCAGCTCAGGCTTTCTGGTGCCTTGTTGGATCCCAAGGCTCCACAAGCCACGCCTCCTCAAGTCACCATACCAACCCCCCAGGAGAGACACTCAGCCTGGGTGTCCCAGGTGGGGTGGGCAATGCCCTGGAAGGAATGGAAAGGTGGAGGTGTGGGGGGCGGGGGCACTTGGCTGGAAGAGCCAGTGGGCCAGCATGATTATCTGGGGCCCAGAAGCAAAACCAGACAGTGACCAGGGCCCCAATCCCTAGCAACTGGCCACTAGGAACAAATTGGCCCACAGGGATCTAGAATAGCAAGCTGCTGGTGGAAGGACTGTGCTGTCCATTAATGTCACCCTGTTCCAGCTGGGCAGTGTTCCTCTGTGGCCAGGGAGGCAGGGAGAGAGAAGCCTCTGTTCTGTCACCATCAGAGCCCAGCCTCAGTGACTGGAGTGATGGGGAATACAGACATTCCATCTTGGAACCTCTGAAAACATTTTGGGTGACAATTTTTTAAGGTTGGCCTATAGATGAGAGCCAGGCAAAAAGCTCAAGCCCAGTGCTGTGGCCACTGCAAACTACAAACCTAGTTATAGGTGTTGTTAGAGACTTTGTTTATTTATCTTGATTAAAAAGTACATTTTTTAGGGGCCGGCCCGGTGGCGCACTGGATAGTGCGCCGCTTGGGAAGCGCGGCGGCGCTCCCGTCCGAGGGTTCGGATCCCGCCTCCCAAACCACTCCAGCCTGAAGCCATTTCCCCTGACTACCTACACACGCAACCTCCGAGGCTCCCCGGCACACTGTGTTGGGGTTCCCCATGTTTCCTCCCTGCTTCCCCAGCCAGCATGTGATCAGCATGAATCCTTGCAAACAAGGAAAAGAAAATCCCAACAGCCCCTGGAGCCTGCTGTGGCTGGCTCTGCTTATGGGTCCACAAAAAGGCAGACCATGCTCCAGAAGAATCTCCCATTGGGCTGCAAGATGGAGGCCTCTTCCCCATTCCTGCCTGCCGGGCAACACAGGCTCTTGCCCCAGGGAGGACTACCCCCGCATAGGGGCCCGCCACACTGTTGTCTTCTGCGCTATTGATCTCCAAAGGTAGGACTGCCCACCTCTTTCCATTGACTGACTCTCCTAAGCTGTGGCCTGGGAAACCCCATCCTTGAGAACTAACGCAGTACCTCCTACCTCTACCTCCGACCTCCATGGTGCACAGCCCTTCTGGTAAGGTGGCCACCCACCACACAACTTGGCCAGTACCCTCCAGGGAACACGGGCTGGCAAATGCATTTCCTCAGCTGCCTCCCTGACCTGGCAGAGGCTGGCCCAACAATTTAATATGTGCATTTCTTTCCATAAAGCCACCTGCTTACACACACGTGTGAAAGATAGTGACGTTCAGACAGACGGAGGGAGGGAAAAGGAGGGAGGGAGGAGCATGTGTCTACAAGTCCTATTCAGAGAGCTGGTGGTCCAGGGTCCACTTCCCCTCTTGGGATGGCATGGATTGGCACCTGACCATGGGTCTCCTGGTTATAAAGGGGAATGATGTCTGTGGCTGGGCTCCCAGACTGGATGCCTTGCTGGTGCTGAGCCTGCTGGTCAGATTTGGGACACCTCCTGCTGCTCCCCTGCAAGCCTGCTCAATTCCAGAAGGCAACTCCTCCTGTGCCCCCCCACCCCCTCACTCCTGTACAGGGCCTCTGTCCACGCTCCCCTTCTCCCTTTGCCATCTCCGTGGTTTTCATCCCTTCATGCCTCCCGTCTCAGCCCAAGCTCACCTCCTCCCAACAGCTTTCCCTGAAACTCTTTCTCTTTCTGTAACGCTTGTTAACCCCACGCAGATTTGTGTTTTTATTTTTTTATTTATTTTTTCCTTTTTGTCTTTTTTCATGTCAGACTGAGTCAGGACTGGGACGCTGGGATTGCAACTGCCATGCAGTCCCAAGCTCCTCTATAGGACATTACCAAACCCAGAAGACAAAAATGTGCTTCTTGTATCTTTTCCACCACTGTTCTGTAAACTTTCACCAGACCCTGGCAGGGCAGACAATAAAAGCTCCAAGGCCTTCTTGCAGCTGATTAAACACCAGGCGTTTCTACAAGTTAAAGTGAACCCAGAAGCCAGGCTCTGCTCCTGTTCTGTCCTCAGCGCTCTGATGTCAGCCAGCCTTGCCACAGAAGTACAATACTCCATGTGAAACACTCAAGCAGGGGCAGACTTCAGACGCATGGCACCGATGATGGCTCTGCGCTGCTGGACTCTCGTGCTTGTGTGCCAGCTCTCTAAGCCAACACCCCTCCTTCCGAGTTCCAGAAGGCTGCATTTCTTAACATGCTAAGGGGAACCATATAAAGCTGTGCTTTCAAACTTTGCAGCACACTGGAACTACCTGGGAATCTTGAAAGCTTAAAGTCAGCAAATTTAGGACAAATGAAAGGGAACACAGAACTAGCCACAGTGGCTGGTAAACTCGCAGAGCTACTGAGGCCCAAAGTCACAGAGGCTAAAATGACAGATGGCTCACAGAAGAGTGAGATCGACCCATGAGGAATCTTGAAAATGAAAGATGATCATGCCTAAAGACATCTCTAAACTTTTCAAGCTGCTACCAAGAAGGACAATCACATCATCCCCTCAACAGCCTCCCAAACCACTCCAGCCCCTTACTTTCCTACTGACCTATAAGCTCTCATAGGATAGAAACTCTTCCATTTCTCGGGCATCTGCCAGGACTTTTCTGGTGACTGTCTGCAAAGATGGCCACCAAGAAGCCCTCCCATTACTCCTCTCATCAAGAGGTGGGGTCTCTTCCCACTATATCTGGCCTAGCCGTGCGGTTTGTTCTAATCGGTAGAACAAATGCGGCAGAAGCGACACGGCTGGTTCCGGGACTAGGCCTTACGAGGCCTGGCAGCTTCTGCGTTGCTCCTCTTGGAAGCCAGTGCCATGTAAAGCAGCTCAGGCTAGGCTAGCAACTGCTGAGAGCATGCGGAGAAGCATGGGCCTTGTGAGGGAGAAGCGAGGGCCCTGCTGACAGCCAGTACCAGGCCTCGGACGCAGGAGTGAGGATGTCCTGGGTCTTCCAGCCCCAGTCAGGGGGCCCAGCCAAGACCACATGGAGCAGAGACAAGCTGTTCCCACTGAGCCCTGCCAGAATTCCTGACCCACACATTAGTGGCTGCTATTTTAAGCCACTAAGTTTTAAGCCACTTCATTCTACAAAGAAAGATATTTCAGTGATCTGTCACCAGCAGACTGGGGATTTCTAGAATCGCTGTTCCTGCTATAGGGCTAAGGACATGAGCCTTGTCCATTTGGCTAAAGGCCATCTCTGATCCATTTTCTTCCAGAACATGACTTCCCAGAGCTGGGATCCACTAGGCATGGCTACTCACTAGATTGTCATTGGTCAGCCGGGATATCTCCTGCTGGACGCCGAATTCCACCTGGGCCTCTGGGGAGAGCAGCAGTGTCTGGCAGAAGGTCTGCTGCTGTTTGTCCAGCTCCTCCTTCAGAGCCTCCACCTGGGCCTCGAGACTCTCCACCACCTCCTCATGCTCGAGGCTCTGAGCCTGCAGCTGGGCCTCCAGCAACCTGCAATGGGGAGAGGAGGACGGGTGACTATGTGGCCGGGTCACTGCCCCCAAGTGAAGGGCCACGGACAGAAACACACAGGGGAGCAGCCAATGCCCAGCAGCAGCAATTGCACATCCCCAACAGGGAGGGGGTGAATGCAGTGGGAAACACACCGTGGAGATCATAAGCAAACAGGCCGGCCTATCCACTCTCAGATCGGGAAACCACAGCCAGAGGCACCCTGGTCTCAAGCCTTTTTCTAGAGCCTTGTTCTCCTCTGTGAGCACAGTCTGTTGGTATGGGATTGAGACATTGTCTCCACATCAAAATGTCAAGCAGAAATAAATTTTTTGTAGTATTTTTAAAATAAAAACACCCACATCTGGCCCAAAGTTCATAAGAATCTCCTTAAGACAGAACTCTTGAGGGTAGGGGAAGGAGGGGGTTTGTGTAGTGACATGTTGGGTAAAGTGCATAAAGAAAAATAATAATTCATAATAATGAATACGCTAATAAAAAATTTTTTAAAAAGGCTAAAAAATGACAAAACTCTGGTAAACAGCTAATATATTAATTGCATGTTTTCCCTATAGTAGATTCTCCCCAGGTTTTAGAAAGGCAAAATATTAGCTCTCTTCCTTTTTATTTGTCTTCACCTTACTACCCCCACTTTATCACATATATGCCTTATATGTATATGCATATATATATATATATATATATATATGTATAATTTTTATAAACACTTTATCTCATATACTGTGTGTGTGTGTATATATATATATATATATATTTTATATGAGAGACAGAGAGAAAGAGGAAAGTCTATGCCACTGATGGAAGCAACCATGTGTATGTAGCCAAGTCAGCTCCACAGCAGCACTGGGTGCAAGGTCTGGCTCCCAGTGGCGCTCAACAAAGTGACACACATGAAGAGATGATGACGGAATCCATCCATCCCCCACAGGCAGCATTTCCAAAGGAAAGTAGTCATAACGTGAGGCTTATGGAGGATAACTTGGTAATGAAATCAGCATTTTAGATGACACATAACATTTAGATAACATGTAATACTGGCTACAATATACTAAAAGCAATCACCAGTAAGTTACAAATCTAACGAGAGAGAATAGAAACCCTTAGGGACTAGGCATGCTACCCAAGGGTGCATTTCCTGACTTGGGCTGTGTCCACTGTCGGTGTCTTTCTTGTTCTCCCCACGAGCTGTAGCTGACTGACTCGGCCCAGCGTTCTGTGCAAGGTATGAGAGCCCCACCCAAGCATCAGGCCAACTACCGCACTGTGTTGGTGGGAAAACTAAGGCCAAGAGAGGTTCTAGGCCACAGCCTGTGGCAGTTCTGGTTCTAGGAGCCAGATCTCCTGATGCATAGGCCTGTGCTTTATTTATTTTTACATTCATTTGTTTATTCATTAAACCACATCCTATCTGCTGACAGAGAGGCATGAGGAGTTACCTGGTTCCATACACGGGTCCCTCCTCCAATAAAACAAACTTCTAGGTGGGACAGGAATCTGATCTTATTGGAGTATAACCATTATAATAAGAGAAGTAACAGCTAATATTTATCCTGTGCTTACTACATGCCAGGCACGTGCAAAGTGCTTTCCCTGAGTAAACCTTATTCCTTATAAAGTCTGTGTGAAGAAGGTCCTGTTCTGATCCACAGTCTACCGCTGAGACTCAGCACACCACCTTGCTCACAGGTCATGGGGCCACATTTGAACCCAGGGGAAGCCTGCAGGGCCAGGAGGCTTGCTGCCTTGTGCTTCAGGGGACTGTGACTTCCTTTCACCGAGAGATGCTCTTGTTGCTGCAACAGGCCCCCTGCCAAATCACAGCTGCACAACGGTGAACGACGGGGGTGCTGGGCTCCTGTGCCAGCTCCTGTGCCACACGGGGCTGAGGGAGCTGGGCCACAGCAACAGGCCCCCTGCCAAATCACAGCTGCACAACGGTGAACGATGGGGGTGCTGGGCTCCTGTGCCAGCTCCTGTGCCACACGGGGCTGAGGGAGCTGGGCCACAGCGCTCACGCCACCTCTCTGCACCTCAGTTTCTCTTCTGGGAGTCAAGGCTGATGAACTTTGCCCCATCTCTTGTTGCAATGCTCAAATGAACAAAGCTATGGGACAGCCCCAAAAAGCCACACACTGCAACCACTGCATTGTGTTCCTTCTGTACGTGCCTAACCTCCCCAGCTAAGCTGCTCAACCACTGCCGAAGCTCAGTGGGTCACAGGTTCCCACGCTGGTACCAAACGGAACCAGGCCCAAATGCTGGGTCTTCCCCTTAACTAGTGAGTTCCTCAAACCCTCCAGGCTCCAGTGTCTTCACCACCCCCCAAGGGCGCTGTGAGGGTCGTACATCACGGTGCATACTCTGCACTTGGCTGTCAGCAGCTCCAGCGAGTCTCTGAGATGGGGACCAGCACGTATGCTGATGGCAGGTCCCAGGTTCTGAGGAGCAAATCACAGCCCACGACACAAATCAGGCCAATGTTTTTGGCTGACTCTGCCTTGTTAGGAGGGTCAACATGGAGTGTGGAAGCAGCACAGACCCACAAGTGCCCAGAGATGAATTTCCCTCTCAGCCTTGTTCTGAAGAGCTCTGTGTCTGGTGCCACATAAGGTCCTCCTCTTGTCTATTTCTTCACCTACAGGACCAGTGGGTAGGACCACATGGTTTCCAAGGTTCATTTGGGCCACCAAGTGCTATCACTTTGACCCAGACAAGCATCCTCCCCCTTTATCCACACAGCCTGGGTGCAAAGTGACAGACGGGTAACCCCAGGGGCTACCCACTAGCAGCCTGAGTGAACTGTGCCCTGTGCCCCCACTCAAGCTGAAAAACAATTAAGCATAGACAAGAGCAGGCATGACAGACAAAGCAGACACAGGAAGAAAGGACAAATATATTTGACCTGGCAACTTGCTTTAGGCCTTGGTAGGCCAAGCCGAGTTCTCCATCTTCATTCAAATATCCCCAATCCTCAGTCTTGCTAGAAATAAAGGACAGAAAAACAGGATGTCCAGTGTAGAGGAAAGAGACAGGCAGGCAGAAAGGCAATTCTAGCCACCGTTTAGAAATGAAAAGGGTGCATGGCCCAAGAGCTCCCATTTTCCCTTTCTCCTCTACTGTTACTGCACTTTAGGTGCCTGCAAACAGCATCTCTCCCCCAAGTTGCCCAGGTTTCAGTTACTGGCTTGGAAGCTGGTTGCGTGGTGTCATGCGGGGCCCACTGACACTCACAGGAGGGAAACATGTTGCCAAAGACAGAAAGGGCTGCACCTGTTCTGACAACTCTGTGCGCAGCCACTTTTGCGAGGCAGTGCGGGTGGAAGTGCAGGCCTGGGCTCACAGTGTGTGCTTCCCTCTGTCCAGATGATCTGGAACAGAACAGGCAGCAACGCAGAAAGGGCTGGGAGGAGAGGATCCCATGTACAGGGACGCTGCTTCCTACAGAGCAGCATATGAAGCACCTGGGGACACCGGGCTCACCCAGGATATTTTGCCTGCTTTTCAATGCATATCTCCTTTCTGTCACTCGTTAAGAGCACAAAAATACAGATAGTCCCTGACTAACACGTAAGTACAGTCAGTTCAACTCCAATTACGGTTTGGCTTATGGTTTTTTTGACCCCAATGGTGCAAAAGCGATACACATTCAATTGAAACTGTATTTCAAGTGCTCACACAGCCATTCTGTTTCTCACTTTCAGGATAGTATTCAATAAGTTACAAGAGATATTAAATGCTTTATTACAAAATAGGCTTTGTGTTAGATGATTTTGCTCAACTGTAGGCTAAAATAAACATTCTGAGCATGTTTGAAGCAGCCTAGGCTAAGCTATGATGCTTGGTAGGTTGGGTGTATTAAATGCGTTCTGGACGTAACAATATTTTCAACTTACGAAGAATTTTTCAGGACATAACCCCATCATAAATCTAGAAGCATTTGTATTTTGTGACACGCAGGATAAGAACTGAACACTTCCTCCCCTTGACCTTAGGACTGAGGTGCGTTCTCCCATTTACTCGGCTTGGGAGAACAGGACACCTGACACCCTCCATCTGCAAACTCAAGTCACCCGGTGTCTGCCCATTGCCAGCAAGGGCAGCTCCTGGAGGTCAGGCGTGTGTCAGTTGCTCCTCCATCTGCCAACTTCACCTCCTTGCACAGCCCCGGGCACACGGAGATACTCAAAATCCAGCAGCATTGGGTGGCGCAGGACCTCCCGCCAGGGACTCTGCCCCACCTCCCTGCTCCCAATGGCCTCTGTCACTGGCGAGCTCTTCCTGCTGATTGGATCCCAGCTTTCCTGGTAGGAATCACGAGGCAGGAACTGCCTCCATGCTGCCTGTTGTGAGAACCAGTGATCCCCCTTCCAAACTCCCAGATGGCAAAGCATCCATCCCCTGGAGTGTTTCTGGCCCTGGTCAGCCACTATACCACCCCATCAGGTTTTGTGTGTGGCCCAGGGGATGAAACTACCCATTACATCTCCCCCCAGACTTCAGCCTCTTAAGAACCTCAGCCCCTGCAGTGCTTATCAGGCATTCCCCTGACAGTCTACAGGAGAGGAGAGGAGGGGGAGACAGTGGTAAGCACACCTCTGGGGGCTACTCTACGGTTTCTATTTCCTGGGTCCACCCCGTACTGTCACAGCCTCTCCCCTAGCTGGTACTGAGGGGGACTACTGCCAACAAACTTATCCTGGGGACCCCTCGTTTGGGACTCCTGCCCCTCAGATGCCCAGGGCCCTCAGCCAGGCAGGGCCTCTCCAGATACTGTCTCTGGGGATAGCCTGTTTGCCATCTTCTCCTGTGGTTGGCAGTTTGCTGTCCTCTGTATTCTACTTGTCCTAGCAAATCCTAAAGTGACCTGGGGCTGTGTCAAGGGGGGTAGGGCTGACAGCTGAGCACCTTCCCTTCTCAGGTGTTGACACCTGCATTTAACCAGAACCCTGTAGCAGCTAGTGCTTCAACCCAAAGCAGCAGCTCACTGGAGGGACCACGGGCGCAGCTGCGGTAATTCCTGGGGAAGCCCAGAAGTAGAAGGCATGAGAGCTAACAGGGAAGAAGTGCGGGGATCCTTCATCCCACCACCTCCTTCTCCACAGGGGGAGAGACATTGCTCCTGTGCTAGGGTCTGAAGCTCCTACCCCGCCTCACGCAGGCTGGCCGTCCAGGCCCCAGGAGAGGCTGCCGGGTCTCTCTCTTAGAGGTCATCTCACTTCTACAGTTCCCATGACTACAGACGCTCTCTAGGGAGGCCCGTGCGTGATCCTGAGATATACACCGAGGAAGTCAGCATTAATCCCCACACATCACCAGCCTCGGGGGAGAATACTCGCAGAATTCTTAATTCTGTAATGTGCCAAGACTTATGGACAAAGAGAAAAATGGAGAACTGTGCAGCGTAGGCACCCCACAGTGCTCAGGAAATCAGGCACATCAGCAAATTAAAAACCAGTCAACCATCCTGGCCGAGCCCTTTGTTCCCAGACATGAGAACTGACCCCAGAGGAGACTCTGCCTCCCCCTCCCCCTCCACTACGTCACTGTCGGCAAAGGCCAAGGAGGGAGCGCCATCTGCTGGTGCAAGAAGGAAAACAACGCAGCTCACAGGAATTTATTTTTATCTTAAAAGTTTAAGTGCTTAATGTCAATTAATCGTTCATGGACAATCTCCTGTGTATAGGCCACTGGGCTGAGCTCTGTTCCAAAAGAGGCAGGTAGTCTCTGACGTCAGGAGGCAGCAAGAAACAGTATTTAGGAAACTGGCTGAAAGCCAGGCTTCCCAAAGCAACTCCCATCTCGGTCTCTGTGGAGCCACGGCCTGGGCTAGTACTCCACTCCCTGGGCCTCCCTTTCTACATAGGCAAAGTGAAAGTGGTTGGCTGAATTATTGCAAAGGTTTCTTCCAGAACTTTAACTACTGACTGTAAAGCCCATGCACCAGAAAAGGCGTAGGACAATATTTAGCTTCCGTCTGCAAAAAACTTGAAAAATAAGGGATCTGCCTCCCTGTGGATGGAAACAGACAAGGTGGCTGCCAACTTGGAGATGATCAGCTTCCTGTTTCTAAAAAGACCTGTATGCTCACAGATGCTCTTATTTCTGTAGTTCACACCTGAGCTTTCTACCTAACTTCCCAGGATATTTCCTGGGATCTTGAGCAAATAGGAGGCGGCATCCCAAACACCAGGAACGACAGAGAAAGATTTGGGGCTGTAGACCTGGCTACCTGAGGGTGAGCTGTTTGGGGATAAATACGGCTAGGCCTGTGAATTACTGCATCAATTGTGCTGCTGGCTCAGGACTAACAGAACTTTGAGAAACGTAAGGAGTGATTGCCTCCTAGAAGAAAGCCGAGTCTCTAGCCAGCAGTGCTTAAAGCGAGGCCTTCTGAGGGAGGAGCTGGGCAGAGGCAGGCTCTTGCTGCCTTCCTTGCTGTGCTGAGCAAGACACCTGGGCAGCTGAGGCTCAAGGCCAAAGGACCTGAGTCGCACTACCAAGGCAAGTCTTAAGGAGACTGCACACACCCTTCCTTGTTCAACAAGGTCTCTACTATCCCGGATAGGCCCATGGCGGCTAGAGAGAGCAGGAGGATAATAATCCCAGGTGTACGTGCCCATGCCCAATAAGGCAACTCTATGTGCTGAGGCTTCCTATTATTTCCTAGGACCTACTGGGCAGGGAAGGGCTGCAAAGAGGTTTCCTGGAACCTGAGGAAAGGTCCAGTAAGGCACCATCAGTCTTGCTCTGGAATCCTGGCAAGGCTTGGGGGAAAGGGGCCCGGGGTCCAAGGAGTACTGGTGTAGGAGCCAGCCCTGAGCCCCAGCCACAGTCCTGTCCCCACCTCTCTGCGACCTTGAGCGCCTGCCTGGAGGTGGGGCCAGCCCAGCCCGAGAGCAGCAGCAGCCTCTGCTCTCCTATCCCACTTGCCACCGTCTCCCAGATTCAGCCCCAAGGGGAAGACGGCCTGCCAACCCCTAGCTCTGCCGGCAGGCACGGCCCTCTCTAGTTCTCCCATGTGTAAAATGGTAATAACAACGCTGGTTTCTTAGTTCCCAAGATGTAAAAATCAGAAAGCTTTGTGGAGGCAGGAGCACTATGGGTACTCCTGTAGCTATTCCCAGAGCAAGGCCTCAATACGGGCTTCTTTCCCCAGATTTAAAAACAAGGGAAAAGACACGGGTGTAAAGACCAAAACAGAACACTATAAACTATGAAAATCAGCAGCTGAAAAAGTTCTGAACTTGGGGACCACGGATGCTTAGGGGGGCCATGGTTGGGTTATGTGATGAAATCCCCCAGAAAATTCAGCATATAAATGTAAGATTTTCTAAGGAGAGGACGGATTTCATCAACATTCTAAAGAATCCCAACCTCCCCCCACAGATCACACCTGCATAGATATATGTCTATTTATACTGTAAAGCTCCCCACGACAGGGGAGCCTAGGAAAGGCAGGGCAGCTCTCTATCTTCAGAGCACCCCGTCGCCAGGGCAGCCCTCGTCCTAAAGGGACGCCCTTGCCACTGGGCCCCAGGGGATCACAGTCGGGTAGACCCTCCTTCCCTGCCTGCCTGCTCTTCTCCCTCCATGCTGGGATTCGCTGTAATCATAAAATTTTTTCAAAGCTGCACTCAAGCCAAGTTGAGAGAGAGACTACTCCATGGTTGTCACTTCTAAGGCACCTCTGGCAGCAGGCACTGGGGAGCTGATTCTTCAGGCCTCCCCTCCCCAAGGCAGCCAGCTCTTTTCTGTACTTAACCTCGTTTCACAGGCTATTAATTCTCTATTGTACACTGGACTTGCTGGGAACGGAATTATTTTAAGATACAATAAAAGCTATTTTTATTTTATCACCATCATTACTGTTGCTGTAAAGGAAGGCAAGTCCAGGGTATTAAGCGGCCCCTGGGAAAACCGAGACTGGGGACTGGATCCTGCCAACTGTATAAATGAATAAAAAGGGAGCTGATAACAGTGATGGTTATGCAGATCAGAAAGATAAGCTCACCTTGTCAGGACCAAGCACACGGCTGTTTCTTTCATTCCTTTTACTTTAATATCACCTGGGCTCTTTTTCCATATTCATCTCAGTTCTTATTTTTAACCCAAGATAATTTAAAATGGCTAAATCTTGACTCCAGTTTTAGCACCAAGAGAGTCACATTCATTCCTTTGCTCCCTCCTTTAGGGAAAAGAATTGCATCTCTCTTGAAATAAATTTAGCTTCTTCCTGGGGGGCTGCTACACCTTCACCTTCTGATTCCTACAGCAGTGTTTGTGTGGGCCAGAAGCAGCCCCAGCCTGGGAGTCAGGCCTTCTGGAATCTACCTTGACTCAGTGACAAGTCGGCTGTGTGCCTAAGCTGCTCCACCCTTCCGGGACTTTTTTTTCCCTCATCTGCAGAAAGAGGACTAGATTGCAAGATCTGGAAACTGAAGCTCTGAGAAGTCTTCAGAGATTCTATGACAGTTCTTGCAAAAAACTTCAGGTCACGCTCCCAGTGCCACCTGCTGACACTTTCTGGAATTGTTTGATGTTTCAGCAATTTTGAGCAAGTGCTTCAATGACTGACTGCTCAACATGCAATTAGTTGAGGAAAGAGAGAAAGGTAACCAGGGGAAAGGCCAGCTCTGTTTCTGCAGGTGCCCCAGGGGCACAAGGAGATGATAATGTCGATAACAGTGCTGACATTTATTGTGTGCTTACCCGACTAAGTGCTTTACCCAGACTATCTCACCAAATCTTCTCAACAACCAGAGGAGTTCGCTGCTCTGACTGTCCCCAGTTCACAGAAGAGGCAACTGAGGCACTGAGTGGTTATGGCACAGTTGCTGAACATTCACTGAGTGAGTAAACCAGAGTCACATTCTCAAGCACCCTGCCTACCCCCTTGGGGGTCTCTCTTCTGTCCTGAAACCTTGGGCCTGCTGCCTCCTCAGACAATCACTCTCTCGCTTTAACCCTCGGTCAGCTCATCCTTGGGGAGGGACCAGAGGTGGTCAGTTATCTAAAATCCAGGGAAATCTCATTTTGGCCAATATAATAGAGGTACAACTCTCCCGTCCAGCCTCCACGGTGCCTGCCTTGGGTCCCTCCTCGTCTAACCAATAGGGACGGGGCCCTCTGCGTGCGTGAGAAGGGTGCAGCGGCAGATGGCTGCAGCAGCCCCCCACCCCGTTAGCTAGGCCCCCAGGGCCAGCGTCCTCTCAATGAGAAGAGCCACTCCCGGGCAGCCGTTCCGCCTCCTGTCATCCTCCCAGGGAAGCTCCTTTTCCTACCACTCCTCAGCACCTGGGTTCTGGATGCTGCAGGTGTGTGAGCTGGGTCTTGCCGAAGCTAATGGTAGGCTTCCCAAGGGCAGGGGGCTAGCAGAGTCTGCTCCTTCTCTTCTATCTTCTCTAATAAATAATTCCCTGCTGCTGAGCCACGGTCAGTGCCTGAGGAACAGGCCTTCACAGATTAGGTTGTGCAGGGCCCTTCCTCCATCGCCTCCTCCATCTCTGTCCTGAGAGACGGGACCTACCTGTTAGTCTGGCAGACCCCGTGATAGGCCTCGATGGCATCTTCCTGGTCTACGTGCTTTTCACTGTTAGGCCAACTTGTTCTGGCATTAATGTTTGGCTCCTAGAAGGCCCCAAATGAAAAAATAAATAGCTCTGATTATACAAACAACTGCCACAAAATGGCTTTATATACAGACAGAGGTATAAAAACATACTTTTGGGAAAAGACAGAGGCTTGGGGAAGAATTCAGATAACTGCAGTTAAATCCAGGTAGAAATGTGAGTTCAAAAGGTAGCCTTAGAACAAGAGACACAGAATGACAAGGCCTGTCTGCGGGACACTGAGAGCAGAGCAGGGGGAATATGGCCAGGACAAGTCCAGAGGACACAATTCAAATCCTCCTCAGTTGTGATTCTTCCACACTCATTACTGCCCACTTACCTCCAGCCTCCTAGTGCCCAGAAGTGGCCCAGCCTCCTAGAACCCACAGAGTGACCCAGGTGGCCTGCATTCCCTCCCTGCAGCTCTACAAGCTGTTCCAGAAGGTGACAACATTAGGAACAAACACTAAACAAGACTTGCGGCCCCAGGAGGATGGACAGTGAGGAACAACTCTCTGCACTTCAGAGAGTAAAGAGCAGGGAGCATGAGATGAAGCACAATGCCACCTGAGATTCCATCTAATCCTGTGTCTTGTTCCCTTTGAACATCTGCATATCAACATCAGAGGATTCTAGAAACTTCTAGCTCAATCTCCCAGGAAAGGTCATGTTGAAAGGACAGCAAGTCTCTTGCTTTGCCTTTAGAGGAGACTCCAGGGCAAAAGACTTTGCCCTTTCAGATTTAAGACCCTCATGGATAAAGACATGTAAGAAAAACTCAGATCTGTTACCTAGCGTCACCCCTCGCAAGCCCACCCGCCGGCTGCCGCCCTGTTACCATGCTCTTGCCGGCCAGTCGGCGCTGGTCAGCGCTCACGATCTGGGTCCTGAGGATGAGCACCTCCTCCTTGCGAACCTCAAGCTCCTCGTTGGCCAGCTTGAGCTGGTTCAGCAGGAGGCTGTAGCCATCTGGGGAGCTGTGGGTGGAGTTGTTCTGTGTGGCTTGGTCGGCCACGGCTTTCCTCAGCTCGTTCAGGTCATTCTTCAGCTTCTTGTTCTCTGACTCTAGCTCTTGCCTCTGGAAGACAGTCCAAGTGACACATCCCATTAATCCCTAGATCCAGGGTACTCTCCACATGTAGGTCCCCTCCTCCCCTTCCTTAACCCACCTACTCTGTCCACGGGGAAAACTAAGAACAACCTTCCCATTTTAAGGATGAAACACCTGGCAAAAGATCTGACTGTCATGAGCAAGCCGCCAAAGCCAGGGCCTGGATTTAAACTCACGGCCCCAAGGTATCGCTAAGAAGGATCTGACACGATGCTCCCACAGCAGCATTCCCTGAAGTGACTCAGTAATGTTAGTGCTTCTAAGCACGTTTGGCCATGAAACACCTCCTTGTGGAAATGCTGGGTTGATGGTTTTAAATAACATGCTGTTAACACACGACTTCCTACTCAGCCTTAATACATTAACATGCTTAATACATAAATGTGACTTTCTAAGAGGGGATACGGAATGCAGAATTCCCTACACTTATTACTCCAGAGACCACCCCTTTTGTTCAAGGAGCATCACTCAGATTTATGAATTGGAGAATATATCAGGAACGTTAGTCATTTTGGTCATGTAGAAAGCCACCAACTGTCAGTGCCAGCGGAGAAAAAACTACCTGTATGCAGAGGCAAAAATACTATTGAAACTCAATTTTTGAATGTATTTATGTTTTCTGGGTAGTACGTTCAATTGTGTGCTTGAGATAAAGTCTGATAGTTTAAAGTCTGATAATCACACATAAATTGCTGATAGGGTCCTGGTATACATGGGATTCAAAATTTCCCAAAGAAAACCCAAAATGTGGCATTAGTTGCATGTTTATTACAGAGCCATAGGGTGAGGGCACTAGAAGACCACCGGGTAGAAACCCTATTTTCCTAGTGAGGAAGCTGAGCCCGGGGAGGGGAAGGCTCATGGTGAATTTACAGGCTGAACCAGGACAAGAGGCCAGGACTCCTGACCTCTGCCCCAGGTCTTTCCCACTGCTCCCCACATACATGATGAGTTCTGAGAGGCTTAGAACCATGCATGGAGATGGGTTCTGCAGATATGCTGAGGGCCCTGGGGTAGGGTGGTTAATACCTAATGATTACTGAGGAGCTCAACAAACTATGGTGAATCAGTTTATAAGTTCAGGAGCTAAGGGTCCACTCAATGCCAGGTGATTTTCCTTCTGGCAGCTGAGTGCAGGCACAGGAGAACAGCAGCACATGGCAGAGCCCCACTGGGCATGGGGGCAGGAGCCCTGGTCCTCAGCCTGGCTCTAGGTGCATGCTGCATAGCCCTGCACCTCAGCCTCCTCAGGGGCCATTTAAGGGAGTGAGAACAGGTGGTAGCTGAAGTTCGCTCAGCTCCAACCAGCTAGGACTGGGCTCAGTGACGAATGTAGGCTGGATGTCTGTTCTGATGGCCATCCCAGGTGCCCGCCCAGCAGTGAGACCCTGCCCCAAGACAAAAAGGGCTGGGCTGGGTGAGGGCCCAGGTTGGTTTCCCCAAAAATCTCCACCCAAGGCACATCTGTGAACCTTCTATTCATCCTATTCTCTAGCCATCCCTGGACACTGTCTACCTTATAACCCAGAGGTCCCTCACCTCTCCTCTCCTGCCCACCTGGCTTACTGCTTTTTCTACACCATCCTGCCTGGTCAACAATGCCAGGAGTATATATATGCTTTATTGAGGTAGAAAATACATAACATGAAAATGGTTAAGATTGTAAATTTTAAGCGTACAGTTTAGTGGCATTAAGTACATCCATAGTGTTGTGCAACCATCACCACCATCCATTTCCAGAACCTTTTCACCTCCCCCAACCAAAACTGTGTACCCATTAAACACTAACTCCCCATCCTCCTGCCTCCATCCATCTAGCCATCATGTTCTACTTTCTGTCTCTGAGTTTGGCTCCTTTAGGTACCTTGTCTCAGTGGAATCAGACAGTATTTGTGAAGACAAATTTTTCATGCATGCGAATATCATGTCATTGCAGCTAAGGAATAGTAGAGTCCCATCCCTCCCTCCCAACAATGTCTATCATCTGCCTATGTTGTGTGAGGCACTGCGTGGGGTAATGTGGGCACAACACCCGCTTAGAACCTAGTCATTACATTCAAGTAAAAATCATTATTACACTGCAGTTTAGAACAGGCTGTGACACAAGCATACCCAGAGGGACCAGAGAACATAGGAGAATGCCATCCATGGAGTCTTGGGGGTAAGAGCAGACTCCCTGGAGGAGGTGACAGGTGATGCCTACTTGACAACTAAAGGACAAGCAGCAGTTAGCCAGGTAACAGGTTTCCAGGTACAAAGGCCCCCACAAAAGGATAACAAGCAGGGCTTGCTGAGTAAATGCAGTCCTGCAGAGTGGGAGGGGAGGGAGACAGGAGACGGAGGTGACGGCCGGATCACAAAGGGCCACGAAAACCTAGGGAAGGAAGCTAGGTTCAGGACGTCCCCCTGCCACAGGCATTTATCACATGGAGAGACTCCCAGACCCTTTAGAGGGTTTTAAATCTTTTAAATATCACACGAGGAAAATAAGTCTAATCAATAATCCAAGAAGAAAAACCCTATAAAGCACTCTCTTCTTACACTGCTTGTGTAGCCCTGGTTGTTTAAAAAGCCAAATGGTGCAGGGAAACTGGATTTCTGTGCACAAAAGAATGAAGCCGAACCCTTGCCTTACAACATCTACAAAAATTAACTCAAAATGGATCAAAGTGGATCAAAGGCCTAAATGTAAGACCTAAAACTATAAAACTTTTAGAAGTAATCATAGGGCAAAAGCTGCATGCATTGCATTCGAGAATGATTTATTGGACATGGTACCAAAGGCATGGGCAACAAAAGAAAAAATCGCTTGTGTAGCCCTGGTTGTTTAAAAAGCCAAATGGTGCAGGGAAACTGGATTTCTGTGCGCAAAAGAATGAAGCTGAACCCTTGCCTTACAACATCTACAAAAATTAACACAAAATGGATCAAAGTGGATCAAAGGCCTAAATGTAAGACCTAAAACTATAAAACTTTTAGAAGTAATCATAGGGCAAAAGCTGCATGTATTGCATTCGAGAATGATTTATTGGACATGGTACCAAAGGCATGGGCAACAAAAGAAAAAATAGACAAATTAGACTTCATGAAAATTTAAAAGTTTTGTGCATCAAAAGACGTTATCAACAGAGGAAAAATACCCACGGGAGAAAATATCTGCAAATCATACATCTGATAAGGAATTAATATCTAGAATATGTAGAGAACTCCTAAATCTCAACAAAAATCTCATTAAAAAATGGGCAGAGAGCTTGGACAGACATCTCTCCAAAGAAGACATACAAATGGCCAAGAAGCACCTGAAAAGAAGCTTAATACTAGTAATCATTATGTACATGAAAATCAAAACTACAACGCGATACCACCTCGCACTCATTAGGATGGCTATCAAAAAACCCCAGAAAATAGTAAGTGTTGGGAAGGATGTGGAGAGACTGGAACCCTTGAGAACTGCTGGTGGGAATGTAAAATGGTACAGACGCTCTGGAAAACAGTGTGGTGATTCATCAAAAAATTAAAAATAGGACTACAATATGATCCAGAAATTCCACTTCTGGGTACATACCCCAAAGAAGTGAAAACAGGGTCTAGAAGAGATAAGAGATATCTGTACACTCATGTTCACAGCACCATTATTCACAATAGCTAAAACATGGAAGGAAGCAAACCCAAGTGTTCAACAATGGATGAATGGACATGCAAAATGTAGTACATACGTACCATGGAATATCACTCAGTTTTTAAAAATAGGGAAATTTTGACACATGCTACAACATGGATGAATCTTGAGGACATTATGCTAAGTGAAATAAGCCAGTCACAAAAGAACAGATACTGTATGATTCCACTTATGAGATAACTAGTGTCATGTAATTCATAGAAAGAAAGTAGAATAAAGGTTGCAGGGGCTGAGGGATGAGGACTGGGGAGTTATTGTGTATGGGTTTTAGTTTGTTTTACAAGATGAAGAGTTATATACATGTATGGTGGTAAGATGCTTGAATAACATTACAACTGTATTTAATACCAATGAACTGTACACTTAAAATAGTTCAGAAGGTAAATTTTAAGTATATTTTACTACACAAAAAAATTGGAAAAAAATGATTCAGGACTGTTCTTCTGGGCAATATACCTGTTACCAGAGGTATTTGGAATCCTGTAAGTGACTGGCAGATTGGATACATTCCCACATTATCAAGTCTTTGGNGAACTATGAAAGCATAAATTTTTGTTTTAAGCCATCCAGTTTGTGCTACTTTGTTTCAGCATCCCTAGGAAGCTAACAGTGTAAAACTTGAGTATCTATTAGCAAGGCTAATGAGCTACGCTGAAGTTTATTAGGGGTAGGGGGGTATGCGCTCACGTGTATTCTGTCTCTCCCAACTAAACTCTAAGCATCTTGCAGAGGAGCCTGCCTCCTTCATGTTATAACAGGTAGTAGGATAGCTGGCCCACAATGGGTACTCCATAAACGCTGTCTGACATCAGAACTCCAAAGCTAGTGGACATGACGGTAATGACTGGAATAATAGCCCATTGGGACCCAGCTGAGCTAATAATTGCTGTAATTATCTGGCATGTATTGGACTTGAATTGCCCAATGAGAAGGGGAAGAAACAGCTTTGTAAATGGTTAACAATTTCAAGTAGAATAAGATGAATTTTTAGAGCTAAGTAAGAATAATATGATGGTTTTTTTGAACACNGACTGGAATAATAGCCCATTGGGACCCAGCTGAGCTAATAATTGCTGTAATTATCTGGCATGTATTGGACTTGAATTGCCCAATGAGAAGGGGAAGAAACAGCTTTGTAAATGGTTAACAATTTCAAGTAGAATAAGATGAATTTTTAGAGCTAAGTAAGAATAATATGATGGTTTTTTTGAACACGAATAAGATGGGTTTTTAGAACTAAAAATAGCGTGCTTCCATTAGATTGCCTACAGTGCTAGCAAGCTTGAGTGCAGGCCACCACCAGCTGGGGATGCGTCCCGGGCCTGGAGACAGGCACAGGATTTGAGCATTTCCTGCAGCTCCTTCCAGATAGAAGATGCCTACATTTACTGCACTGTATCCAGCCCTGCAACCTGGGGGGAAACCTCTGCTTGGTTCCAGTCTCTGCTTTGCCTCCCACTATCACCCATTAGTGGTACAGGGGGAGGTGACTTAACTTGCGGTCCCAGTGAGAGGCCTGCACTTGTGTTCTATGCACCATGGATTTGCCACAGGACCTGGATAATTGTTGAGTGTGTTAGGATCTCAGAAAATGGAGATCATCTACTCAAACTCAAGGGGCTGTATCAAGATGGGCTGGCAGTCATGTGCCTAAGTGGGAAGCCCATTGGAATTACCCAGGTGGCCAATCATTTTGCCAGGCCTAGGGAAAAGGCACTGGATGGATGGGAGATCAGATACACTGACAGATGGTGCTGTCACAAAGGTCACCCCCTCACATTGGCTCTGTCAGTCCCACACTGATGGTACATCCCACGGACTTCCCTGTCACTCCCTCAATCAGAGGAATCACCTCTCTCTATGGCTGAGACCCCAGGCCATATATCTCCAGAAAAAAAACCCAAGTAGCTCAGGATTCCTCTTGGGACCAAGGGCAGGTCGAAGAACTTGACCTCTGAAAGCTCATCCTCAGGGTGCAGGAGAGGGATTCCACACTCTCCTCTGCCCCACTCCTGCCTTTCTTATTAGACTGTCAGAAACAAGGTCATTCTCCTTAAAGAGAGACCCTCAATTACATGACAGGTCTCAGCCTACTGTTTTCACTCTTGCTCAGGGATTACTTTCGAGGGAAAAAGATTTTTTATTCAGTATCAGGACAAACAGAGGTTCTACAGCCCAAGATTCCAAAATTACTGGCATTTCTGTGGTGGAGAAC